AAAAAAAAAAACGCATTTTTTTTTTTTTTTTCAATTTCGTTCGATTTCGCCCAAACCCCCCCATCCAAAAGTTTATCTTTTTCGGTTTTTTTTTGTGTGGTGGGGTGGGGCCGGGGATGCACCGCCACGTGGCGTCTTCCGAATGTCGAAAGCTGCTCCCCTGCGGCCGCCACGTGGCTCCAAAGCCGCGCGTCTGCGGGGTCAGCGGACTGGCCGCGTCCGCGAACTTGGCCGCAGATGGCCGCCGCCGAGGGGGATTCGTAGCTCCTTGGAGGATCAGAGGCAGCAGAATGGGTGGCAAGGGGAGCATCCATAGTGACCAAATGTGATGTATTCTCGTGGCAGCCGGACTACATTGACAGCAAGATTGCACTGATGCCCACGAGAATAGAGTGGGCCCAGTCAGGGTCCTGAATACGTCATCTGTAAGGAATCAGTGAGAGCTAGTATAACCTTATGGAGGATGCACTAAGAGAAGGGCTGGACAAGCGCAGAAGGACAACAGTCGCATTAAGAGGACGAGAGTCGGATCTGAGAGTGATATCTTGGAACATCAACGGGATGGTGCAGATCCTGGAAAACAAGGACAAATGGAATAATGTCATGAAATACTCTAACTGGTATGGTAAGAATCCCCCTGATTTCGTATGCTTACAAGAAACCCATCTGACAGTTTTGCTGGAACATCAACGCATTCAGCACCGCATCCTCAAGCAACTGAGGTGGGTCAATGCAAGCTTTTGGGCAACAGCGGGACGCTCCCATTCAGCTGGGGTAGTAATATTGCAGAATAAACGGTCGCAAGCGGCAAACAGAATAACAATTCAGGAGGTAACGACAGATGAGGGTGAGGGACGTTGGGTGAAGCTTAACTTTATGTACCAAGAAGAGCAGTTCTCACTCTTCGCAGTTTATTGTCCTAACATAGGACATCCCCGGTCCATTATGATAGACACGACACATACTCATATAGAATCGTCAAGACACCTCATACTAGTCGGGGATTGGCATGCCACCTTAGAGTCGAGTAAGGATAGAATGTAAGGTGGGTGGTCAAGGGAAGGGATGATGTGGGACGAGGCCCTCCCCATCCATAATGTCATGACAGCCCGGGACCTCGTCAATCCATATAGATTAGAGCAGCCAGACGAGAAGCAGTTCACCTTCTACAAAAGGAATCGTAGTCAGCACATCTCAGCATCCAGGATAAGATTATTTCCTCATATCACAAGAGATGATAGGAACACTACGCTCGGCCGCGATAGGAGATCTGCCATATTGCACTTGTCTAGATCACAAACCTATTTTTCTCAACCTCACCATGGACAAACAGATCCAGAGGGGAAAGAAGTTTTTATAAGGTGAACAATTCGCTACTTAAAACTCAAGAACTGAGGCAGGCTCTGCTACAAGTGTGTCTAGCACACAATCCAGAAACACGTGTTCATAGACTTAATCGACGCTCTGTCAGGAGCGACAGCAGCAGTGGCTAGACAGTTAGCAGCCAAACGAGCAGCAAGGGAAGTGGAACTACAACGAGCGTTACGCATAGCAGAAAGGAACCTAATCAGCAACCACGGAGTGGAGATGTACGAGAGGGTAATGGAAGCAGCCAGGATGGATTTGGGAGACTGGGCGAGATGGAAGACACGGGGACTGCAGATGAGAGCGCGTGTGAAGGAATGGGAGGAGGGGGAAAGAATGACAAAATACTTATTTCAAAAGATTAGAACAAGAGGAAGAAACGCGGTAATAGAATAGCTGGAGGGTCCACAAGGATTGGTTTCGGACCTGGAGGGGATGCTGTCAGTGGCCTATAACTTCTACAGTACGTTATACACTTCGATGGAAGGTGAACATCCACCACACCAAGTAAAGGAAGTCAGAATGAAGTTTTTGTCATACTTGGATTTCATGGTGAACGGGGAGCAGGCGAAAATGTTGGACGCCCCTCTCTCTCCAGAGGAACTGAGGGAAGCCCTCCAGACCATGTCTCCCAACAAGACGTCGGGTAGAGATGGACTCACAAAGGAATTCTGGTTAGAATACTGGCCCATTTTGGGTGGTGAGTACGAAAGCTTTCTCAATCGGGCATGGCAGAAGGAAGGTTTGGGGCCAGATTCGGCGACAGGAATCGTGACTCTTCTGTACAAGAAGGGCGGCCCCAAGGACATCAGCGTTGTGTTACAAGCGCATTGATTGCATCAGCGCACAGTGCGACGACTATGCTTAGTATGCTCACCCGTTTTTTTTTTTTTTTTTTTGGGGGATTTCAAGACTAACAACACARAAARAGGGGCCCCCCCCMACCCCCCCCCCCCCCCCCAGCCAGCACAGGGGACCATGGAGACCGGTGCCCTTGCACCCCATTTCCAGCCAAATAGATTTCCAACTTGGACGGATGGTGAGTAGGTTCCCATCCGAATGGCTTACTTAAACCACCAGTACTTGGCCCAGCTATCGGCCGCGGGGAAAAATGGAGTAGAAACGTCTCTAGTCGGATGAATTTGGGCGCTCCTGTAGTAGTCCGTACGTTTCCTAAAATTGTAGCGCGTTAACGGGCAAGACTCTAGGAAGTACTGGTGGTTTAAGGGAAGATGCAGATTTCCTCTATTTGATCAATCAATCCAAGAATTTCAATAAATGAATCAAGCGGACATTAGTTGGCAGATAGATAATGGAATCAAAAAAAATTCCCGAGGGAAGTTTTCTTTCCTTCTTCCCTTGCTTGTTTTCTTCCTTTTTTCTTTAACATGGGATTTATCTGCATGACATCTGCAATGGCACCCCAAGTACGAAGTGATGTTGTGATTCCGTACACATGCACGAGATGAACTCATGCGAACTATACATGGATACCACAGACACACACACAATCGATTCTGTCTGTCTTCTGTTGGTTTGTTTGTTTGCCTTTCTTGCTGTTTTCTCTGTATGTCGTTCTTGCTGCTTTTCTTCTTACCTTCTGTGTCTGATTGAACACCTTCAAGAAGTGCTAAACAGTAGGTGGTCCGTTGTTTGGAGTGCCTGCAGGACTTTTGGGGGAGCCGCTCTGTCCGTGATGTCTGTGTGGTGCATGTGGTCTATGGGTGAGAGCGGTGGTGCCCACCTTGAGTT